CATGGAGCTCTTATAACAGGTCAGTGTCTATGGAGCTCTTATAGCAGGTCAGTGTCCATGGACAACATATAACAAGTCAGTGTCCATCGACCTCTTATAACAGATCAGTGTCTATAGACCTCTTATAGCAGGTCAGTGTCTATAGATCTAATATAACAGCTCAGTGTCTATAGACCTCTTATAACAGGTCAGTGTCCTTGGACCTCTTATAACAGGTCAGTGTCTATGGACCTCTTATAACAGGTCAGTGTCTATGGATCTCTCATAACAGGTCAGTGTCTATGGACCTCTTATAACATGTAAGTGTCCATGGACCTCTTATAACAGGTCAGTGTCTATGGACCTCTTATAACATGTAAGTGTCCATGGACCTCTTAAAACAGGTCAGTGTCTATGGACCTCAGGTAACAGGTCAGTGTCTATGGAGCTCTTATAACAGGTCAGTGTCTATGACCTTTTATAACAGGTCAGTGTCTATGGACCACTTATAACAGGTCAGTGTCAAAGGACCTCTTATAGCAGGTCAATGTCCATGGTAACAAGTCAGTGTCCATGGACCACTTATAATATGTCAGTGTCTATGGACCACTTATAACAATTCAGTGTCTATGGACCTCTTATAACAGGTCAGTGTCTATGGACCTCTTATAACAGGTCAGTGTCTATGGACCTCTGGTAACATGTCAGTGCCTATGGACCTCTGGTAACATGTCAGTGTCTATAGACCTTTTATAACAGGTCAGTGCCTATGGACCTCTGGTAACAGGTCAGTGCCTATGGACCTCTGGTAACATGTCAGTGTCTATAGACCTCTTATAACAGGTCATTGTCTATAGACCTCTTATAACAGGTCAGTGTCCATGGACCACTTAATACAGGTCAGTGTCTATTTAACCACTTATAACAGGTCCGGTGACCATGAACCTCGATTCCATTTTAATTCGTATATATATATATGTCTATGGACCACTTATATATATACCGGTGGCCATATATAGAAATATATATATTATATATGTGTATATATATATATTATATACATACATATATATATATATTATATACATATATACATATATATATATATATATATATATATATATATATATATACCTGAAATGAGGATCGGAAATCGTTCTGGGAAGTAAAGGCGGATAATTTGAGAGTATTACATCTCGACCGTCAGTTTATACATACAGCTACAAAACTGTCTTCTTTTTAGTTAGGCCTCAACAATGTGTTTGCGGAGTACAATTGTTTGAAGCTAGGCTGCGATATCGGCGCCTTTCAACCGTATATATCTGATTTCAGTAAACCCCCTTATTAGTGGCATTTTACTATATGTTTGTAGGCAAAAGAGGGCCTATTAACCTTTCCCTTAAAACAGGGCCACAGAGCCCAAACATGGAGTGATAGTCTCGTATATAACCTCAGCGTGGGAAAACTGGACTTTTACATTGAAAGACAATTGTACTATGTTGATTGTTTCATCAGTGGGAGAAAGTGCCACGATGTAGTTATTTGAAAAGTAAAGATTGCTCTTTATCGTAGAAGCTGAGACTGTCATTGCTAGCTGCATTTACTTTTTCTTTTTATGGTGATGAGGAGCACTGTAATGTTGAACCTGTAGTAGGTCATTTGCAGAACGTCGCTCTCCTCACAGTCCTCCTGAAAGAAACTCGCTCTCGCCAGCTCTGCCGCCTCAAGAAGTCACTCATATCCTGTCCCCATCTTTGTGTTGGTCCCTGCCCTTTCCTTCCTGGTACCATGCCTTCTGTTTTTTTTTTTTTTTTTCGGTATGCCATATCACTTGATGTGCCGAGACAAGATGCTGTTTATTAGCCAAACTTCCTTGATCTTCAGATCTTTTCAAATGTCATTATTTCTTCTCTTCTTTGTCCATGATATTCTAAGAATCTTTCTACAGCATTTCAACTCAAAGTCCCCATTTTCTTTCTTGAGGACAGGGAGATAGTCCACGACTCACATACGTATGTTGCTACACTGAAGATGCATGCTGGTGCTTAACTATATACTTTTTATGTTGTTTAATCTTTTCATTGCTATGACTATCCTCTTTTTGATTTCTGTCAGTCTCCATTGTATTTATTATAAAGCCTAGATATTCAAAGTTTGTGACATTTTCAGTGTCTTCATCGTTCATTGTTATTTTTGGGTGACAGTCAGCTTTTGTCTGAAAACTTTTTTTTTTTTAAATTACAGGAATGGGTTTTGATCCTCGCGGTGTTTTTGGACATATATGATACCATTTTCTATTCCCTTTACACTGTTTGAAAGGAGCACTGTGTCATCTGCATTGCCAAGCTCTGCAATAGGGCTGCCACCAGTTATAAGCTGTTCCCAACTGCCACAATTCTCTGTAGTTAAATATTTTTATTTTGTGTGTTTTTCCCTTCCTCCACCAAGTGCTGGATTTAGGCAAAAGCTAAGCAGCAGTTTAGGAACACATAATCTGCAGACCCTCACAGTTTATTTTTTCTTTTGAAGGAAAAAAAACAACAACAACAAAAAAGGATGGGGGCTGGGGGAGTTCTACACATGCAATTTTATTTTAGTAGAGCCTGCCAGAGGATTATAAAATATAGTTTGTGATTTTGTTTGGTTAGTTTCATTCTTAAATATTCTTTTTTTTGGGTGCTAACAATTAAACGATAATGTTTCTATCCTTTATTTTTTTAAACGCATATACATTTTTAAGTTTTCCGAGCTTGGTTAGTGTAATTAAGAATAGTTTTGGGCTTAAAAATCGAAAACCGACCCTGCTTCTTCCGCACCCGCCCCCTCCTCCACGGAGGAAATACAAACAATTCCATAGCCTTTCCAAAGACTCAAACTGTGTTTTTTTTTTTTTAAATAAACCCAGCGTTCTGACCTCTCTGGGAAATAACAAGAATATCATGTAACTCGTTTCATATAAGTGATCACCTTGTTGTTTTAAAGCGTTCACTAATGGAATTGTTTGCAGATTTTGCACTCCTCTTCTGCCTCTTTCCCCAAATAGATCATTTGTCTTTACATAAACCATACCAAGCTGCTCTATTCGTAACACAGGATATGAGTCTGTGAACAAAGTTTCGAGTGTACGACATTTATGTACCATAAATACACAGCAGTAATGATAAATGGAGAAGCCAGATTTCTGTAGTTTGCTCTGACCAACTGTAAAACGTACGAGAATGCTTTACGTTATGGTTCAGACATACCGAAATCTTTATTTGCGAGTAATCAGATAATCGCAGTGGTAGCTTCATAGCAAAGGGGTCACCCCCATAGATGCTCCGTTCTTGTACCAACGACAACCATATAGAATGTCCATCGCTATTCCTTGTAGGGTGGGGGAGGGCGGTGTGTGGTGGTAATCACACAGACTGCAGTTCTAGCAAATCCAGCAGCATATATACGAACTGAATGCAAATGGCAGATGTTAAAAATTCAACAGCTAACTATGGTCAGAAGCGAAAATTTACTACGACTAAAAACAGAAAGAAAAAAAAAGCATATTAGCCAAACTAACTGGAAGCCCTCGTCAGATCCAGTAGGTATAAGGTAGATTTAAGTTGGGAGTGAAAAAAGTTTTTACTTTTGTTACGTTTGCGGGCATTCATCCCTAAAGTCACACTCGTTAATTTATTCACAATATATACTACATTAATCGGTTATGTAGTAAAGTTTTAGCCTGAAAAGTCTAGTTAAGCTCCAGCAAGGAGATCAAAATTAAAATTTTGAGAGCATGCATCTTCCCTGTAGCAACATACGGATGTGAGTGGTGGATTATCTCCCAGTCCTTTAGAAAGAGAATAGGGGCTTTTGAGCTGAAATGCTATAGAAGTATTCGCAGAATATCTTGGACGAAAAAGAGGCGAAATACTGACATTTTGAAAAATCTTAACATCAAGGAAGATTAGCTAATGAACAGTATCCTGTCTCTGAAGCTAAAATATTTTGTTCATATCAAGCGCCACGACGGATTGGGAACAATTATAGCAGAAGGCATGGTACCAGGAAGGAGGGGCAGGGGCCGACCAACACGAAGATGGGCACAGGATATACAAGGTCCCACAATTAAGTAATGAGACTGATTTTATTATGGCCAAGACAAAAATGGCCTCTATGAAGCAAAGCACGGAATTTAAAGAGGCAACATTTATCTATGATCTGGCAATTTTTCATCGCCGCTGGGTAAACAGACAATAAACAAGCCACCATTTTGTTGACCTAGTCAGAGGTGCATTGTTGTGCATCAGCAGGGAGCAAAAAGCTAACATTAAATTCATTTCAAAATATATATATTTTTAATATAGAGACCATTCATAACATTTTAGTGCATGATCTTGGCAAGGAAAAAAGGTTGCTTGCTGGTGTGTACCACATTCGTTGTCTGATGACTAAAAACATCAGTAAGTTGAGTACCCAAGATACACCATCAAAACAAGAATTTTTTGACTAAAATCAAGTGTGTGTTCCCAGCCTTTTACCTTATTCCCGAGATTTGACTCTCTGTAATTATTTTCTATTTCCAAAATTAAAGTTACGATTGAAAGGAAGCTACTTTAACGATACCGATGACATCAAAAGGGCTGTTACATCGTGTTCCTTGAGAATGAAAGTGCATGAGGCGGGAGAGCTGGCGAGAGACCGAGTTTCTTTCAGGCAGACAGTGATGGGAGCGACGTTCTGCAAAGGACCTGCTACATGATGATGAGTCTAGTTTTGTCACATGAATGAAAACAGGAATGTATCATATTTGTAGTAAAATTGTTATTTAAGTTTAAATATAATTATACTAAATTAATAAAAATAAAAACAAAAATAGGGGTCCCGAAGAACAGGTTGAGAACCACATAACTAGGCCATGAACTGCTGTATGTATAAAATGAGTGTCGCGACAATCACAGCCACATAAAGTCTTGATAAAGATAAAGTATTCATTAACCAGTGCTAAGAATTAACCTCGCGAACGCACACTTCAGTTTACGATAATGCAACATTGGATATTCACTTGTGTTTTCCTGTCCTTGACTGCGCTTGCAGTCGCTCTTCTTCAACAGCCTAAAGATGTCATCAGCTTCAGCGAGGAGGAAGGTGAAAAACTCGATTTTTGGCTACATAAGTTGATCCAGGTATTGTCAAATGTATTCAAGTTGACATTTTAAGTTTTGCTGCATTCTCTTCTCCGTTATTTTACCATTATTATCTTGGGACATATTATTCGAATACTTCTTTTTCAGAATTCCGAGCCCTTGATGTTCATTGCTGCAGATTTCACCCGCTTCCATTTATCTTTCTTTTCAGTTTGTGAAACCAATTGTTTGCAGGTCTGCCTGGACATTATCTCTCCATCGTATTCTTGGTCTGCCTCGTGGTCTACGAACATTCATCTTCCTTGTGTATACACAGTTTTCACTTCTCTGTCATCTGACATTCTCTCAATATGCCCCATCCGTTTCCGTCTGTTAGATCTCATGATGCCAGTTATCAATGGTGATTTAAACAGATTATGAATTTCGTTGTTGAATATCATTCAAATGGTCAGTAATGTTTCTCATATTTGTGCTTCAAGTTTTTCACATGCTTATCTATGGCTCTTTTTCATCTTTACCGATTGAATTTCTTAACTGTCAATATGTTTTCAGGCTAAACATTCACCCCAGGGAGACGTAGTGACTTAACAATATGGTGTCCATCTACACCTTGAGTGATTTACTTGTCTTACTCTCACGGTGTTCGTCGATTGTGTTTAGGATTGAACCTCTTCTGTCATGAATCTGCCTACGAGCTTTTTTGCCCTGAAGACAGTAAAGTTGGTCTATGACAGACTCCAACTTCAGCAGTCTGAGAGTAACATTTAGTATTCTTTAAGGAGCAATCGACAGATGCTATACTGTTCTTGGCTCCTTTTTTGGGCTTCTTGATATGGACTGTTTTGTTTTTAATGGCAGGTTTGTGTGTTTGATTGCCTTCATCGGCTATAAACTCCGGCGGAAAGTTCTGTCTATTTGTTTAGCTCTAGGCTTTTTTTTTTTTCCAGGACATGAGTTTAGCGTGTGCGTCTGTTTTACAGATCTAGTTTATTTGTGTGGGACTGTTGTTTCCTCTCCTCTTAGGCGAATGCACAACGACTTCAAAGGACATGGCGGTTTTGATAGTTTTCTCAAACAACGGATGGTACGGACAATCCTCATTCCTGGCTCTGTGTTTATTTAGCAGTTAGCACGTTGTCTATGGTTGTTGGGGGTCAGGTCCTACAGGTCTTATATTAGTGCCAGACAATGTTCTGGAAACTAAAGGTGACTGGAACGATGTTGACTACTTCTCCCACCAGCACTGATTTCTGTATGAAAGGGGCGGTATTACTGTAAATATATTGAGGAAATCAGTTCGTGGAACGGGGCCTCAGTTACTGTGTGAGGTGCATTACTTGATGGAAGTGGGGCCTCACTCAGTGCGTGGGTGCCTGTTAGCAGGTATGAGGCTTCATTGGTCCAAGTAACGTATTACGGCCCATACACACCGTGATTGGCCGTACATTCATGCGTGTTAACCTTTCACACGCACTAGTCTAAAGTGCAGGGGAGTCACGCTGTGTTCAGTTATGAATATATTGTGCGTCGCATGTATACATTGCGTTTTACTAGTTGGTCTGAGCGGCCGGCAAAATTGCATATATTCTAGCCTACACAGACTTCTAGTAGGAGGTGAATTCACTTTAGCTTTCAGCGTTGACGATGGACCAGAAGAGCAGCGTTGTTTTTCAGCAGCAACACTTCTTTGTAGGGCCCACCGTAAAACGTTTAAGAATTCTGAATAAATAGTGCCGATCATTATATTTTCTGTTACTTTATTAATTTACAATATATAACGGCCTCAAGCGTTCCCTCTCTGTTTATTTATAGAAATGACATATACACACAGAAACCTACAAGTCAAATACCTTTCTTAAATGTGTGTGTATTCTAGACAAAGCATTAAGGTCGAAAGTGTTTGTAAATTGTTGTTGTGCTTGTTATTCGACATATGTTTCAGTAATAAAAATTTATGTAACCTATGGTGTCATTTCAATGGTTTTAAATGAATTCTGTCCGTGAATTTCCAGCTGTACGATAGACATGGTCAATAATACACCTTATTTTTGGGGGGGGGGGGGGGGGGGGGGGGGTGCCTAGTTGACCATGTTTTTAGTGCGAGTGTTTCCATAGCGAAGCGCACACGCCGTCTTGAAGTGACATGTTCAATTCCCGGCACAGTAACTTTGGCTTTCGTTTTCTATATTGTCTAGTGTGTTTTTTGTATCTTTCTGCTTCTTGCTATGAGTGTCGATCAATACATTTTCTGTTACTATTAATAAGAATTCTGAAGCCACGAGACGTGCTCTGCACTCTCTCGTCGGATGTAGGCTGAGCATGCGGGGTGGGGTGGGGGTGTTGCGGTTAGGGCCAGTTGTAGATGTTGCAGGGTCGTTGAAAGCGGTCACATCGTATGATATAGAAAACGCGTCATCGCCACTGAGAGAGTCCAAGACAATACAACCTTACGCTTCTGTAACAGAGAGTCGCACGTATAAAAGGTCAGCAAAGCATCAATGAACGACCAATCACAGTGTGCCTGGGCAGGAAAACATTAGTTGAACTGCCACATTTGGTGTGGCGTCGCTTCAGTGGGTGTGTGGAAGGCCTCATTAGGTGGGGGGGGGGGGTGCGCTTCAGTGGGTGCGTGAGAGGCCCTATTTAGTGAGTCGGCGCTTCAGGTCCTGGGGTGGCGCTCTAGAAAGTGGGTGTGGCGCCTCGGTGAGTAAACAAAAAATACAAATAATCTCTTGTGCCATTGGCAGGTGATGCCGAGCCTGATTTAAAGGCATATTAATAATATACTGAATGACCAATCACAACAATATACATGAAATAATATGAGCTGTTTTAAACATATTTTTGACAAGAGAACTTCTTAATATAGTTAGGCGGCCATTTAGCAACCCCCCACACCCCAACCCGTGAGAAGAATGGCGTGAAAGCAATCCTCGATTAACTGAAAAAATTACGTTTCAGTAACTAGTTTCAAAATTTTTCTTTCTATACCCGGCGAAGTAATCTTGAACACACTTATTTAAATGTTAATTTAAAAAAAAAAATTACCCATATGTGTGTATTCTGATACATCACTTGTTTGTTGAACTTTGAACCACATTTTATGAATGGGTTTCTCCTATGGCAGTAATCAGTGTGTGTCCTGAGCTAAATTAATTGTCTGAGTGGAAGTTCAAATTGAAAGTCTGTGTAGCCAAACCTAGTGCACCAAGTGAAGACAGGTTTCGCTATTGGACACTGGGCGGGAGGGATGAATACGATACGTTGAATGTGCTACTACCCAGAAAGTCAGGGAACTCATCCTCACAGACATCATATAGTAAAGTAAAGGACCCCTTTCCACCCTTTCAGGCCTTTGTGTGCCCTCCCAACTGGTGTAGGATCTCATGCGTCTCAACAAATCACAATCCCTGGTTGTCTGGAACAGCTCTTTTGATGATATCCCTCCCTGCCATCGTTTCAGCCCATCCAGCATTATCTTTCTTAGTCTGCCCCTACCCTTCTTTCCACTGATCTTTTCAGCTGTCACGATTTTCTCCAATGTCTCTCGTCTCATTATGTGGCCAAAGAACAGTGTTTGTCTTTTTCTTATTGTTTTATATAGAGATCTACTTTCATTAGTCTCTTTCAAACAATCGGTGTTAGTTACTGTAGCCGTCCAAGGTAATCGTAACATTCCTTTTAGAAACCACATCTCTGTTGCTTCCAAATTCTTCTTAATTTGTTCTGTGACATTCCAAGGTTCGCTACCACACAGCAGAACAGGTTCTATGTAACAAATAGTGCTAAACCTACACATTATAGACCGATCAGCACTTGGTGAGTAATGTAGTCAACATTACACTGACTACCTGTACTTCATAAGACTAGACCTGGTACCCATCAAGGCTGAGTTGACCCATTTTCAATTTGGAAAAAATAAATAAATAAAAAGTCGGTCTCTATCAGGACCCGAAGTGAAAATATATCTATACTTTCATATGGACCATTTGGTCTTGTGTGGGTGATGTTAGCAATATTATGCCGACTGACTTAACGTCGAACGGCATTTCTTGGTACTCATTTAGACAGGGTCGAGCTGGAAGAAATCCTCCTCGGAACCCAAGACTTTGGATTTTTACCTAGTAAGACATCTTTCCATGCCTTCATGCTTACTGGGCATGTACTGCAAGACGTATAATTTACAGACCAATCGGCATTCAGTGGGTGATATCGTCAAATTTACGCCGACCTCTTTTACTTTCCAGGACTTCTACCTGGTCCCCAGTTAAGGCTGGGTCGAACAAAGAATTAAGATCATTTTTTAAAAAGAAAAAAAAAAGTCAAGCTGTATTCGAATTTGAACCCAAGACTTTTGAATCCGCCCACAAACGTCTTGCAGCTGCAGCACAGCGGCTGTGTTTTACAAACGGCACGTGGTCAAAACTCAATGTATCAATCAGTGCACAGTCAATATTTCTGTTGGCGAGTGGTCACCTTGTTTGAGAAACAAATTGGACACACGCCATTCATCAGAAACTTTAGTGTCATTTCTATTGGTGAGTGGTTAACGTGTTAGGGAAACAAGCATGGACATACGCCATTCAACAGAAACTTTAGTGTCATTTCTGTTAGCAACTGGTTAACGTGTTAGGGAAACAAGCGTGGACATACGCCATTCATCAGAAACTTTAGTGTCATTTCTGTTAGCGACTGGTTAACGTGTTAGGGAAACAAGCGTGGACATACGCCATTCATCAGAAACTTTAGTGTCATTTCTGTTGGCGAGTGGTTAACGTGTTAGGGAAACAAGCGTGACATACGCCATTCATCAGAAACTTTACTGTCATTTCTGTTGGTGAGTGGTTAACGTGTTAGGGAAACAAGCGTGGACATACGCCATTCAACAGAAACTTTAGTGTCATTTCTGTTGGCGAGTGGTTAACGTGTTAGGGAAACAAGCGTGGACATACGCCATTCAACAGAAACTTTAGTGTCATTTCTGTTAGCGACTGGTTAGCTTGTTAGGGAAACAAGCGTGGACATACGCCATTCATCAGAAACTTTAGTGTCATTTCTGTTAGCGACTGGTTAACGTGTTAGGGAAACAAGCGTGGACATACGCCATTCATCAGAAACTTTAGTGTCATTTCTGTTGGCGAGTGGTTAACGTGTTAGGGAAACAAGCGTGGACATACGCCATTCATCAGAAACTTTAGTGTCATTTCTGTTGGTGAGTGGTTAACGTGTTAGGGAAACAAGCGTGGACATACGCCATTCATCAGAAACTTTAGTGTCATTTCTGTTGGCGAGTGGTTAACGTGTTAGGGAAACAAGCGTGGACATACGCCATTCATCAGAAACTATAGTGTCATTTCTGTTGGCGAGTGGTTAACGTGTTAGGGAAACAAGCGTGGACATACGCCATTCATCAGAAACTTTAGTGTCATTTCTGTTGCGAGTGGTTAACGTGTTAGGGAAACAAGCGTGGACATACGCCATTCATCAGAAACTTTAGTGTCATTTCTGTTGGCGAGTGGTTAACGTGTTAGGGAAACAAGCGTGGATATACGCCATTCATCAGAAACTTTAGTGTCATTTCTGCTGGTGAGTGGTTAACGTGTTAGGGAAACAAGCGTGGACATACGCCATTCAACAGAAACTTTAGTGTCATTTCTGTTGGCGAGTGGTTAACGTGTTAGGGAAACAAGCGTGGACATACGCCATTCAACAGAAACTTTAGTGTCATTTCTGTTAGCGACTGGTTAACGTGTTAGGGAAACAAGCGTGGACATACGCCATTCATCAGAAACTTTAGTGTCATTTCTGTTAGCGACTGGTTAACGTGTTAGGGAAACAAGCGTGGACATACGCCATTCATCAGAAACTTTAGTGTCATTTCTGTTGGCAAGTGGTTAACGTGTTAGGGAAACAAGCGTGGACATACGCCATTCATCAGAAACTTTAGTGTCATTTCTGTTGGTGAGTGGTTAACGTGTTAGGGAAACAAGCGTGGACATACGCCATTCATCAGAAACTTTAGTGTCATTTCTGTTGGCGAGTGGTTAACGTGTTAGGGAAACAAGCGTGGACATACGCCATTCATCAGAAACTTTAGTGTCATTTCTGTTGGCGAGTGGTTAACGTGTTAGGGAAACAAGCGTGGACATACGCCATTCATCAGAAACTTTAGTGTCATTTCTGTTGGCGAGTGGTTAACGTGTTAGGGAAACAAGCGTGGACATACGCCATTCATCAGAAACGTTAGTGTCATTTCTGTTGGTGAGTGGTTAACGTGTTAGGGAAACAAGCGTGGACATACGCCATTCATCAGAAACTTTAGTGTCATTTCTGTTGGCGAGTGGTTAACGTGTTCGGAAAACAAGCCTGGACTTAAGCCATTCATCAGAAACGTTAGTGTCATTTCTGTTGGCAAGTGGTTAACGTGTTAGGGAAGCAAGCCTTGACATAAGCCATTCATCAGAAACGTTAGTGTCATTTCTGTTGGCGAGTGGTTAACGTGTTAGGGAAACAAGCGTGGACATACGCCATTCATCAGAAACTTTAGTGTCATTTCTGTTGGCGAGTGGTTAACGTGTTAGGGAAACAAGCGTGGACATACGCCATTCATCAGAAACTTTAGTGTCATTTCTGTTGGTGAGTGGTTAACGTGTTAGGGAAACAAGCGTGGACATACGCCATTCATCAGAAACTTTAGTGTCATTTCTGTTGGCGAGTGGTTAACGTGTTAGGGAAACAAGCGTGGACATACGCCATTCATCAGAAACTTTAGTGTCATTTCTGTTGGCGAGTGGTTAACGTGTTAGGGAAACAAGCGTGGACATACGCCATTCATCAGAAACTTTAGTGTCATTTCTGTTGGTGAGTGGTTAACGTGTTAGGGAAACAAGCGTGGACATAAGCCATTCATCAGAAACTTTAGTGTCATTTCTGTTGGTGAGTGGTTAACGTGTTAGGGAAACAAGCGTGGACATAAGCCATTCATCAGAAACTTTAGTGTCATTTCTGTTGGTGAGTGGATAACGTGTTAGGGAAACAAGCCTTGACATAAGCCATGCATCAGAAACGTTAGTGTCATTTCTGTTGGTGAGTGGTTAACGTGTTAGGGAAACAAGCGTGGACATACGCTATTCATCAGAAACGTTAGTGTCATTTCTGTTGGCGAGTGGTTAACGTGTTAGGGAAACAAGCCTTGACATAAGCCATTCATCGGAAACGTTAGCTGCATTTCTGTTAAAGCAACGGTTCCCAAACTTGGTGGTGCAACATTTGTCAAGAATTGTTCACAATCTGCTTGAGATCAGCGAAGACAGTAGTTTAAAACAGAAATACCTTGAAGGAAGATAAGAACAGTTCTGGATGAAGGTGTGTTCAGAAGACAAGGCTGCAGTGCATTCTCAACGTACGCTTACACTTAAAAAAAACAACAGATACATGACCAAACTTTCTGGGTCAAGTGATTTGAGGGTTAAATTAAGTAAACTTTCTATATACATAAAGGAAATAATAAAAAAATTCATCCAAACAGTTTTATTCATTTCATTAAAGACAACCGAACATTGAATGTGCACTGTTTCTCCCCCTTCTTTTTATATGTATTCGAACTGCTTTTACGGTTGGTGTTACGCGACGAAAAAAAGGTTTGAGAATCGCTGCGTTAAAGGATATTGCAAACGATCACTGGCTATCACACTGGCTGTTGTTTCTAACAAAACTTTTGTTTGTAAACGTTTAGTAGCTTGCCATTGCCTGCTTAACGTTACGATGTGCACGCGGTTATGAAAAGCAAAGCATGCGAGCTGCCGTCATCGCCTGCAGCTAACTTTGAACCGGAATGTCGGGTTAGTGAAACTATGTTCATAACACCTAACAATATTCCATAGCGATTATAAAAGTTCTGGCATTATGCGAGCTAATAGACTGAAATGGTTGGGGCATACTGAGAGAATGTCAGATAACAGGAAAGGGAAAACTATACACAAGGAAGATGAATGGTTATAGACCACGAGACAGACCAAGAAGACGATGGAGAGATATTGTCCAGACAGACCTGCAAACACTCGGTGTCACCAACTGGAAAGAGAATGCTAACCATAGAGATGAATGGAGGCTGGTGATATCGGCAGGAATGAACCTCAAGGACTCGGAATGCTGAATAAGAAGAAGAAAACGATTATAAAAGTACACAGTGAAGGGCCTTTCTTTCTCAAATGAGGCATATGATTTTTATAGAACAACCCGCATTCAGGGGGTTATGTTTTCAAAGTCTCACCGGCAGTTTTTAGCTCCAAAGACATTACCTACTACTCTTTTTAGGTTGAATTTACTTAGCCATATTTAAATAAAGTAGCATTTCAATCATCGATCAATCATCTACGCAGGAAAAATCAAAACGCTTGACAACATTCAAGTACAACAACTGTGGAGACCCAACCAAAGAAGTGGCAAACATCACAACACTCATCATAGGACCAGATCCATTGGTATTCCCAGGTCCTCTCAGAGTGCAGTTCTCTGGGATCGCTAAACAAACGATCCAGTCACCAGTCAGGGTAAGTATCGCTTTGTGTACAATATAAGTATCGCTTTGTGTACAATATGAGTATCGCTTTGTGTACAATATGAGTATCGCTTCGTTTTGTACAAAATAGTATGGCTTTGTGTACAATCAGGATCTGAAATTTTTGGGGTAAACGAGAGCATTCTTGTATACCATAACTATATTTTTTAGTTTTATTATCATCACCATCATCATTATCATCATTATCATCGCCAGTGTCCACTTTTGTCGAAGGGCAATAACATTTTGCGATGTTAGATGGGTATAAGTCTGTCGGCTCTGTGGCTAAGTCGATGCCAACGCTTCGTAATGCCGGGGTGCCTGGTTCGATCCCAGCTGCGGGCCTCGTGCCTCGCGATGGTTTCAACAGTGGTATCAAGAAAGCCGACCGTACTGGAAGCAATGACAAACTACTAGACGTAAATTTGCCTAGAAAAACCACACAACGGCCAGGGGCTGTTGGGTTTGGTTCTGCAGCGTCCTGTAAAGGATACGCAACTAACCAGACTGGTATTGTTTTGTTTGTTTTAGTATCCAGAAGCCATGAGCTGTTAACCCTTAGGCTCGGTATTATGGATATCGCAATCTTTCGGCCTTGTAAATACCGTAAATCTGGAAGAAAATGTGGCTTTTCTGCCTACTTTCGGGAGTGAACCCGGACCACAAGGAGTTCGTCACCCGGTTTCCGCGCAATCCGGTTTAGACAACTACGCTAGAGAGCCGGACACCAGATGTGTATAAATGGCTACTGTCATCCGGTGTCCATGTAAATGCACTTTAATATTATTTATCCATTCTCTTTTAGTATGATCTCTTGCATTCACATCAGATCTGTGCACGCGTAGCGCCTGAGCTGGTAGTTGCTCTAGCTGCATTCTTACTAGATGACCAGCCAACTGATCTTTTGATTCTCAATTTATTTCTGCATGGTGTTGTTCCCACAGACTGTTTGATAGTATCATTTCTAACGATGATTCTTTTTTCTTCTTCTGCCTCTCTAGCCTCTAATGGAGCATAGGCCCCCGACCAACTCACGCCAAGTCGTTCTATCCTTTGCTATCGCATGCAGTTCTCCCCATGTCCTCTCCATCTTTCTAACCTTATTCTCCGGCTCCATTCTTTAATGTATTTTTTTGGCCTTCCTATATTTCTATGCACTGGTGGGTTTCAATGCAAAGACAATCTAGTTATATTGTTCTCCGGTTTTCTCAACGCCGGCGTCTTTTCCTCACCTCTTGGTCCACTGGAGCTTGCTTAATTCTCTCCCAAAGCTCTACATTAGTGATTCTATCATACCATTTAACTCGGATGATTAAGTTAGCGACTTTTCACAGGCATCCTTTACACGAGCTGGCAGAACCAACCCCAACAGATCGAGGCTGTTGTGTGGTTTCTCTAGGAAAATTTACGTCCAGTAGTTTGCCATTGCAACTGGACGGTCGGCTTTCTTGATACCACTGTCAAAACCAACGCAAGGCATATGGCCCGTAGCTGGGATCGAGCCCATCATCCCGGCATTACGAAGCGTTCGCATCAACTTAGCCACAGAGCCGACAACCAGGAATTAGGTATCAGTAAAAAAGACTGGACATGAAGTGCTATATTACGAAACAAAATAACTTTGTAAACAACCAAGGCCGCTCCTATTTGTAATTAAATAGAATTAAAATGTGAGATAAGATGTATAAGAAATGCGGCGGGAAAAGCCAGAAGAGACAGTGTCCAACAAAGAACTAAGAACAATAGTAGGTAGTGTAAGAGTAATTAATTTCATAGTACATCAAAGAATCAAATGGTTTCTTTATCTGGTCAGAAAAGAGGAAAGCCAGCAAGCAGCTAGAGCGTACAACATAAGAAAAGCAGGCTACATGTCAGTAGGTCTCATACCTCCCCCCCCCCCCCCCCCCCCCCCCCCCCCCACACACATCTTGAGTATATGACCCCCACGATCTACTGAATGCATAGTAATACTCTCACTACCCACCACCAGCATAGCAAAATGTTACTAAAAAGAGGTCAGTAGATTCTGCAAGAAGCGAAACAGAAAGTATAAAGATACATTTTGGTCACAATTTGTTCTCAATCTATAATGAAATGCTCGTATTATCCTATTGAATTATCCTATTAATTACATTTTTAACCTTAACTAACTGCTTTTGAAAATAAATAAAAATCCTTGTCTTTTTGTTTAGCATAAAGTTTTTTAAAATATTGTAGTTATAATGAAACTAAAACAAAATGTTAGTATAACGAATATTTACAAGTACAAATGCACTCACTTTCAAAATTGCTTGATGCCCTCTTGCTCTCCTCTAAGGGAGCGCACCCTAAGTTAGAATCGACTTCGCTACAGGAAAGAAATATGCTATTAACAGAACCTATGCAAGTAGCAAAAGAGGGACAGTACATCTAATTCCCCTCTGCGAGCCCTTGCGACATAAAAGATGGAACAAACGAAGCAGAGCACAGAATTAACTAAACAGTTTCCAATCTCTAGGTTGCTCTCGTGCTGGAAGTCAAGGTGGGAAGCATCTGGGTGAAGATACCTTGCATACAAAATCTGGGATCGTGTACATACGAGGACCTCTGTGAGCTGCTGGCTCAGATCACTGAGTGTCCGGCACCGCTGGTCAGTGCTGGCATTCCCTGTGCATGTCCGTATAAACAGGTAGTGTGACATATATGTGGGTAGATTTATAGAAACATTCGTACATGACACGAATGGTATATTTGTATGCATGCTTGTGCAGCCGTAGTGGATACATACATTCATATATACGTACACACATGATTCCATTATATTTACAAACACAAAAATATACATACACACATACATATATACGTAACACATACACAATACATACACACATGCATACATACAAGCACTCCTGTTTATATATATGTATATTTTAAATTTATAAATACACACATACACGCATATATACAAACATGCATGCAAACATTAGATACATATATGCATACAGCCAAACATGCATACAAGTACATACATTCATCTATACATAGATGCATAGATGCATATGTGTATATATGCATACATACATACATACATACATACATACATACATACATACATACATACATACATACATACATACATACATACATACATACATACATACATACATACATACATACATACATACATACATACATACATACATACATACATACATACATACATACATACATACATACATACATACATACATACATACATACATACATACATACATACATACATACGTACATACATACATACGTACGTACGTACGTACGTACGTACGTACGTACGTACGTACGTACGTACATACAGACAGACAGACAGACAGACAGACAGACAGACAGACAGACAGACAGACAGACAGACAGACAGACAGACAGACAGACAGACAGACAGACAGACAGACACACACACATACATACATACACACATACATATGTACACACTCACACACACACAATCTCTGTTGTGTGCTTTATAATATTTGCACAATTGCACTGCTGAATTTAAAAAACCGGTTATTCCTAACTGGGAATTTCTAAAATCCATATTCTATTTAATGATTTAAGATCTTCCTTAGGACATTGTAGTCGGATTCATTTAACTGTCTAAAATTGGTCCCAGGATGGCTGTCCTGTGGAAATAAAGAGGGGCGGCGTAATGCTGACCACATCACCCACCTAGTGCTGATTTGTCTGTAAAAATATGGGGTGCTCTTCCCATATGCCCGATGCGCCTAAGGCGAAAGAAAGGATTTTTACTTCACTTTACTATGTCTATGGATATATTACAGGCATGTGTCGAAAATAAAGTATCAATCGAATTTGGAATTTATCACTTGGTGTTTTTTAAACTACAAAATTTTTCCGTGTCAGTTCTGGGGTCAATTTTGGAGAAGGAAGAATAAACCTACTTGACTCTAACAAACATGGAAGGATGCCATTTAGTAGGGGCGTTTCCTTTAAAGTGGTTTGGCATCTGCCTGAGAGGTAAGGAATGAAACGTCTATACACAAAAAAGACAGGAACGTAAAATTGTTATGCATGCAGAATTCAAGTTCTGTATTAAGATCAAAGTCCAGGAGTGAACCAATTACAAAAAGTAAGCAACTTGGTTTTGTTGTATAAAAGTCGTCCCGATGTAAGATAATTTTTTTGGTTTTTTTTGGTTGTACCACCATCCCTGCTTCTGCCGGGGGCCCTGACTATAGCTAAGCCATAAATATGGTATAGGCCATAGATATGGCCTAGCGGGTGATCCTCATCCGCATGGTGGCACTTTACGTCACTGGGTATTTATTGCTTGTGTGATGTCTTGGTGGAATACAACAAGCAAGCAAGCAGGAAATTGGTTTTAAAACTGTCCCATTGAAAATGTAACATTAAAACACACACTCACACACACACACACACACACACACACACAATGAATTTTTAACTGTAAAATATGTACTGTAAGCCAATGACCCATTTCACGCTTACCGTCTCAAAGAGTCAGATGGACAAACTAGTAGAGCGCATACAGAACGCGGCTATGCAGGTAATTCTGGGTTGCACCAGAGACACCCCAGTGGTGTGTATGCGATACATCCTTGGTTTGCTGACGGTTGCAGGTAGGCACAAGGTGTTGCAGGCGAAGTCATATCTCAGGGTAGCTGCAGATACAGACCACCCTCTGCATGAAGCTCTGGGTGCAGTTAAGGGTCAGCGGCTAATAAGAGGGAGGTCATGGATGGCTCAGGCAGAAGACACAATCAGACAGGTTTGCATCCTTGAGAACATTAGGCGAGGAGAGGAGTAGGTCAAAGTGCCACCTGAACGGTCAGACTTGTGTAGAGTCATCATCACACTGAGCCGGGAATGCAGAGACTGGCCAGCAGGTGCCACAGAGGTGGAAATTCAGCAATTAATTCACGATAATGTTCGCTCAGAGGATTTGATCATTTACACAGACGGTTCGGTGTCAAGAGGCAAAAGAAGTGCTTGGGGCTTCTTAGCAAAAGTTAATGGTCGACGTTGGTGCAGGAGAGCCTAGCATATGATACCACAACATGTAGCTTAAGAATACATACATACATACATACATACATACACATACATACATACATACATACATACATACATACATACATACATACATACATACATACATACATACATACATACATACATACATACATACATACATACATACATACATACATACATACATACATACATACATACATACATACATACATACATACATACATACATACATACATACATACATACATACATACATATACATACATACATACATACATACATACATACATACATACATACATACATACATACATACATACATACATACATATACATACATACATACATACATACATACATACATACATACATACATACATACATACATACATACATACATACATACATACATACATACATACATACATACATACATACATACATACATACATACATACATACATACATACATACATACATACATACATACATACATACATACATACATACATACATACATACATACATACATACATACATACATACATACATACATACATACATACATAAAGGCGGTCACTGCAGCTTTCTGCTGGCTAGAGAACACGACACACACACATCGTGATTGTAACTGATTCAGAAAGCATGCTGGGGAAGATCAGAACAGGTATGCTTCGTGCAGAGTGGCATGCTTCGCTGCTGAGGACACGGATGAGGAGTATTGTCTGGATGTTTTTATTGGTATCGGTGTGTTGGGAAATGAACAGGTGGACAGACTGGCTGGCTCTGCACAACTTGGTGGAATACTGATACATGATAAGGCAGACGTGGTTAGTGCCTTGTGGGAGAGCGTGTACAGTTCGGAGGAGCAGATGGATCACCACAGTCTGGTCAGATTGATGCAGCGGTGAGTGACGAGAGGTTCTGGCCAATGCTCGAAGGTCAGAGGAAAGGCAAGAATGCTACTGGCACCATTAGTATCAGGACTCTTCGCTGGCTGTTGAAGATGGGGATGGGGCGTTTATGGGAATGCCCCGAGTGCTGTAATGACGGTTCTTGAATCATATCAAATCAAATCAAATCAAATCAAATCAAGTCAACGCACTAGGGCATGTTGCGTATAAAGGGCTAGATCTTCATTTAAAGACCAATCAACACTCGGTGGGTGATGTAGTCAACATCATGCCGGCCACCTTTACTTCCTAAAACTGAATCCGCTATCCATTTAAGGATTGGATGACCTAGGAGCCAATGTCGTTTTTGAAAATTAAAAAAAACTTGGACTCATCAGGACCAAAATATTCGGATGCGCAATCGAGCGGCTAGCCACTACACTGTGGCAGCTCCCTATAATAACTGTACTGCCATGTACATATTCTAATCTCTATTATTGTGCTTACCCCCAGGGACCTTACAGCCTGCCCCAGGCAGAGTTTGACATCTTGGTTGCCCTGTTTCCCGCTGGAGACTACCACGCCGTGGCTAACGTGACCAATGGCGTGACCTCCATTGCTTGTGTGGAGCTATTTGTCACGTTTGGTTAACTAACCATTTCTATTTATGCAATCTTTCTGCAACATTTAATAAACAAATAGAGCTGCTTAAGGTGTTTGTTAAAATATTTAGAGGATATAGATATTGCAGAGGAACGGTTGGCCGAGTGGTTACAACGTCGATCTCTCATGTGGGAGATCCTAGTTCGACTGCTACTAGGTTTTTCTGTCAGGAAACAATTAAACATTCTAACCTGCATAGTCCTTGGCGACAACTCTAGCCTGGCGACCCTAAGTCCTCAGGCTCAAGTCCATTTTGTCTACACCGACGTTGAAAGTAGTAAAACAGACAACAGTGTCAGTTTAAATATTTATAGTTAAAACCCCTGGTCTAACCAGCATTTCAAGGCAAGAGAATATACATACACTCACTATGTATCAGGCCCTCAAATCAAGAGAATATACACACACTCACTATGTATCGGGCCCTCAAATCAAGAGAATATACATACACTCACTATGTATCAGGCCCTCAAATCAAGAGAATATACATACACTCACTATGTATCAGGCCCTCAAATCAAGGCGAATGCTCGCATTAAACTCAGTAACTCCAACGACGATCGAGAAAAACGTCTCAAACAGCTGCAAACCCAAGACGAGGTCCGAAATCGAACCCACAGTCTTCAGAGACCTGAAAAAAAGATTTACCACTTCGCCATGGAGCCGCTCCCAGTCCAGCTAGTGGTACTATACAAAAAAAAAAAAAAAAAAAACATTGGGGTGCTCGGTGGGGAGGTGGGGGTGCTTAACACAACCCCCCCCCCCCCCCAAAAAAAAAAAAATTTAGTGGCCATATCAGGGGCCTATGCTTGCTTCAAGTACATTTATACTAAGTATAGTAATAATATTAATAATAATTATAATAATAATTATAATAATAATTATAACAGTAACAGTATACGGAATATATAGAAACATATATTTGAAATCATATTAAAGATCATACATTAAAGTCTTGCAGTGTGACAATGGAGAGGATACGGGAGGTTTTAGGTGTTTGAACAACAGGTCAACATTATGGCACACGGATAGTAACCCATAAGTGCTCCCTTCTTCTTCTAACTCAAGTCTGAGTCCCAAGAAGCTTAGCACAGTGCACAGGCTTTGTAGCACCGTCGATGATCCTGAAATACTTGATGTAGATTTTTAACTTAAAATTTTTTTCGGGCAGCTCCGTTAGGCGATTTTTTTATTGTTTTTTTTTTTTTTTTTCGAACAGCCAAGGGATTTTTTATGCGCGCAAAAATGCACACGGGCGTCCGTTCTCACTACCCAGAGACGAAGGGGAATTACTAGAAGTCCAAGCTCACGTGAAAAAAAATGAGGATACGGGAGCAATAAATAAGCTTTTCTTGAGCAATGGCAGCAGAACTTGTGTAAAGCAAACCTAACATACTCAGAATCTTGAATGTCTCTAGTATTCATTTTTAGAGACTGGACTGGCTCCTGAATCAACAATCCTTCAGCTAATAATCCGTTTCATTTGGTGTTGGTCATAGTTGTCTTAACCTGAAGACACAATTTCCTTTAGGCTCCACTTCACTTCATTTTCACTAGCACAGGAACGGAGCATGTACTGGGTTGCAGTGAAGTTGGCAGCTCGACTACTACAGCTAGTACCACTCCTACTACCACTACTCCTGTTACCACCACTCCTACTACTACTACTCCTGTTACCGCCACTCCTACTACCACTACTCCTGTTACCACCACTCCTAATACCACTACTCCTGTTACCACCACTCCTACTACCACTACTCTTGTTACCACCACTCCTACTACCACTACTCATGTTACCACCACTCCTACTACCACTACTCCTGTTACCACCACTCCTACTACCACTACTCCTGTTACCACCACTCCTACTACCACTACTCCTGTTACCACCACTCCTACTACCACTACTCCTGTTACCACCACTCCTACTACCACTACTCCTGTTACCGCCACTCCTACTACCACTACTCCTGTTACCACCACTCCTACTACCACTACTCCTGTTACCGCCACTCCTACTACCACTACTCCTGTTACCACCACTCCTACTACCACTACTCCTGTTACCACCACTCCTACTACCACTACTCCTGTTACCGCCACTCCTACTACCACTACTCCTGTTACCACCACTCCTACTACCACTACTCATGTTACCACCACTCCCACTACCACTACTCTTGTTACCACCACTCCTACTACTATCACCACCATCATCACCACCAGCTGCTGCTACTATTACTACCACTACATCATGATTTCTGTCCACAGCCAATGCTAATCATGTAGTGGGCTGTGTGGGCTCAGGGCATGGTGTCCGCCTCTAGTGCTAGAGGTCCGAGTTCAGGCCGCGGTGAAGGCTGAGATTTTTTTTCACGTGTACTTCTAGTAATTTTCCCTGTTCTTTGTGTAGGTAGATCGATCGCCCGTGTATAGTGATGAGTACGTAAAAGATCCCTTGGCAGTTGTAAATCTAAAAGGGTACAGTCTTTTTCAGTCTACAACTACCTCCTAAATACGTCCCCACTAGGAGATCACACAAGCGATAAACACTAGATGACACAAAGTGCCACCATGCGCTCGAGGATCACTCGTGATTAGGTCCCAGAAACCCCTTTTAGCCGTTAGGCCATATTTATGGCCCGGCTATATTCAGGGCCCCCTGCTTAAAAGCTAGGGTGGGGCTTCAACAATAAAATAAATGATTGCTTCCAACGAAGAGACGACATGATATAACCTTCTCATTAGGTACACAAAGCAAGTTGACTGTTTTCTTCTGTTTCGCATACTCAGTTTTATTCCTCTCTTTGTTTGTTAGTTAATTTCTATCTACACAGCTTTTCAATACAACCTAAGCTAAAAGAATACTATTAGTGACTGATCTTCAAACTTGAGCGGCTGCAAAAACAACATCAAAATATCTAACCGCTTTTGTTATATAGTTAGTTTAACGACTAAAGGGAGGTTAACATTTGATTTAAAAAGCGAGCTTTTTTAAATACAGGTAACCTCCCCTTTGATTTATGTAAGCAATAGTACATTGATTGACAACACCATAGTGCAGTTTTGTTTTCTTCCTGTTTGCATTAGGTTAATGAATAGTAATAAATCGTTTTCATGTTTCGATTACCTACCCGCTCAGGGTAGAGGGTACAACATGGTGGTATTACAGGTGCCTTGATTATGATATCTCTAACAGAGTGAGCGGGGTATCCTGAAACAGCTTTGCTAATAGACGGAGATACATTATCAGGTAACAGATTAAAACAAAAACAAAAAACGGCGGTGGGTGCGGGGTGGGGGGGGGGGGGTGAGTGAGTATGTTTTCAGATGTGTTTATCATCATAATTAGGTGCCTTGCCAGCTGGCATAGGCGTTCATGCAGGTTCAAAGATCTCGGTCTTTGGTGTTCTGAATCAATTCCACTGATAAAATTCCTCCATGCCGCTGTCTTAGGCCATCCACCATAATTTCTCTTGGTCTACCTCTGCCTCTTCTACCAATGATCTTTTCAGTCGTCACGATATTTTCCAGTGCTCTTTTTCTCATCCCATGATTAAAGAATTTGGTTTGTCTTCTTCTAATTGTTGTATATAATATTATACCTTCATTAGCCATTTCCAGGCAATCATTGTTAGTTATTCTGGCAGTCCAGGGTATTCGCAACATTCTTCTCAATAAACGCATGTCAGTTGCCTCCAAACTCTTCTTAATTTATTCGCTCATATTCCAAACATCTGTTACAGCTATCCCGTTATCAATGCTAAGTCGTCTGCAGTACTTTTATAATAATGTATTTACAGCTTAGTCGTCCCCATGTGGAATGCAGTCTTTTGTTATTTGAAGCCCTACCCTGGCTTTTGCCGGGGCCCTGAAGATAGCTGTCCATAAATATGGCCTAACGGATGAAAGAGGTTTCTTGGACCTCTCGACGGGTGATCCCCATCCGCATAGTGGCACTTTGTGTCACTGGGTGTTTATCGCTGCTTGTGTAATTTCCTAGTGGGGTACAACAAGAGAGAGAGAGAGAGAGAGAGAGAGAGAGAGAGAGAGAGAGAGAGAGAGAGAGAGAAAGCGCGAGAGAGTTCATAATCCTCTCTGTCAGCCAAAATCTGGGAACCCTCTTTAATTTCAGAAAGAATAATTTACAACTAAATAGTAGAGTTAAAAGTGCAGGCTTGTAACTTCTCTACAACACTATCATACACATTGTTGGAAGCTACAGTTGTGCAGCCTGTGGATCAAAAGCTCGTGGGTTTAGGTCCTGAGAGAACCGTAATTTTCATTTTTGTTTTGAAAATATTCTTGTGTATAAGACTTGCACCATATTGAGAAAATCCAGTCAGATATCCTACCAATAGTGAATAAACGTGATAGAAAACTGGCATCAGAATATTAACAAAGATAAAATAGCTGGGTGCGTGTTTATAGACTTTGACTATACTATCCTTATTAGAACACTAGAAATAATGAACTTCAATTGTAATCTATTCACGTTATTAAAATTATTTCTGTTAAATAGGAAACAGGTAGTTTCAAATAATAAATCCCTCTCGCAGACTACTGTTGTAAATACTGGAGTACCCCAGGGCTCTATTCTTGGCCCTCTGTTATTTGCCATTTATATAAATGATCTTCCTTTATCTCTGTCGTCGCCGTGTGACGACTGTAGACGACTGTACGTGTGATATTCTAGAGTCATCTTTACAACAGGAATTAAACAATGTGGTCTCCTGGAGCTGTGCAAACCACATGCAAATAAACATTAGTAAAACAAAATGCATGTTAATATCAACAAGACAAAAACTATATTCTTTAACTACACATATTACGCTTCAGTTCTACATCAGTAACAACCCAGTAGAATGTGTAACTGAGCACAAAGCTTTAGGCGTAATTATTGATATAAATTTAACCTTCACTTCTCAAGTGCAAGCTCTATTGAACAAAACAGCTAAAAAAGTTTACCAGCTTGCAAAAATTAAACA